TTGCTGGGGGAAGCTCGCAGAGTTGCTGGCCGCAGCCCGGCCCTGGGCCCCCTGCTCCCCTCCCCCCCACAGGAGCCGCTCAGCCAGCGCCTGGCACCCCGAGGGAGGCCGGGCGTGGGAGGCTGAGGATGACCTCGGCGCCCCGACGCGGATTGCTGCTGCTGCTTGGGGACTAGCGGGGCGCACAGAAGTGAAGGCAGCTCTGACCCCACCAGACGGCGGGGATGGGGGCAGCGGGGCACAGCGGCGGTCACCCGCCCTGCCCACCCTCAGGGCCCGCCACGGGTGCCCAGAACCTACTTACCAAGTGGCCCAGGCCCTGGTCTGCCCGCTCAGCTCTGACGACTGGGTGGCGCTAGAGAAGGTGCCTCTCGGCCCAGCCAGCCTCCGCGGGCCGCGCAGGGAAGCCGGCGCCCAAGGCGCCTGGCTGGGTCTGTCAGCAGCCCCGCGGGCCCTGCTCTGTGGGCAGAAAGGAGCTGAGCAGCCGCAGGGTGACGGCCTCTGGCCACCAGCCCTGAAGGAGTGTCGGGGCGTGGTGTTCCGAGGCCTCTGGCGGCCTGGACTCACTCCAGCACGAGGGAGGCCCTTCCGGGGAGCAGAGTGCCCCAGGAAGTCCAGGGGGGCCGTCTCCGGCATCCGCAGCTGGTCTGCGGGGAGACCCAGCGCAGAGCTGTGACTGAGGTCAAGTCCAGCAGGTCCCCTCCCGGATCCAGGCTGGCCTGCAGCCCACCAGCATGACGGGGGTCGGGGGCCCATGGGGCTGCTGGGCGGCCCCGGCTGGGGGGCGCGAGGAGGGCCGGCCTCGGCGGGAGCCCCTCTGGGGGCTGGCAGGGTACCAGCCCAGGGCAGGCCCACCGGGCGGGGCGGTGTCTCTGCCCCAGGCCGAGCGCGGCAGGGGTCAGAGGGGCAGATGCCCGTCAGTCACCATGGCCCTGACCCCGGGGTGCACCCACAGGGGTCACTCTTGTTTCACAGCCTGAGGCCCACACCCCGCGGAGGAGGGCGCAGGGCCGGTGTGGGCTCGGGAAGGGGGAAGCTGCCTTGCCAGTGTGCGCTGAGCCCTGGAGGCCCGGGGCCCTTCCGGTCCCTCCAGCCTGATGGGGTCTGGTCTGCAGACACCCCAAGGGGACCCCAGTTTTGCAGGGGACCATGAGGCATCACGTGACAGCTGGCGGCAGCGGTCGGGACAGCGAGGGACCCGCACAGCCAGACGGAGGCTCCCCACAGTGGGTGACGCCGGCGGGGGGGCCCCCAGAGGCAAACCGGGGAGCAGGTCCCCACAGAGCGCAGATGCCAGCCCCTCCCAGGACAGAGCTTGTCCAGGCCCTGCCCCTGGAGCGGGGTGCACCTTCTGGAGGCACGGAGAGAGTGAACCCTGTGGCGTGGCCACCTGGAGCCCCACCCTACCCAGTGTGCCCCCCCGTGAGACCTGGCACCCCCGTACCCCCTCTTGGATCCACGGGCGCGGCCTCTGGTCGAAAGTCTAAATCTGACACACCCGCAGGGGTATCTGCTGACAAGGTGAAGTCAAAGTTTTCTGGCAACCCAGGGAGAGAAACAAC